CCCATCTATTTAAGATGAAGTTTCGATCCAAAATTTGGAAAACTGTCTATAAATAATACTTGGAAGACCCCCACAAGCAAAATCTATAGGGTGTGGTTTCTATAACGTTCCAATATTAAACAATCTAATTAAGACGCACCTCTAAATTTTAACATAACATGTAATTTTGGTGTAAACATTCCTAAGATATTCTCAAAATCCATTTTCATATCTAATTATAAAATTTTAAACTTCAAAAATGGCTAAAATCAAGTAGATCTATAAATATGTAAAAATCTTGAAAATGGACGTCTAGTTAATGTGTTGCAAGATGCATTATTTCTTAGACTCAAAATCTTTTTTCTTTTCAAAATTAAAATGGATTTTTGACATTTTAAAGTTGCAACCTTATATAAACTTTTTCCAAATCTAAAACATTCACATCTATTTAAGATATTTAAGATGGAGTTTGAACCAAAATTTTGAAAATTGTCCATAAAAAAGTAGTGTGAAGAAACCCCCCAAAAAATAAAATCTAGAACATTATTCAACATGGAGTTTGAACCAAAATTTTGAAAATTGTCCATAAAAAGTAGTGTGAAGAACCCCCAAAAAATAAAATCTAAAATTTGTGAAGAACTCCCAAAAATAAAATCTAAAAGTTGTGAAGAACCTCAAACAATAAAATCTAAAAATTGTGAAGAACCCCCAAAAAATAAAATCTAAAAATTGTGAAGATTAAAAAATCTAAAACATTATTCTTCGCTTCACAGGTGAATAACGTGAACGGCAGGATTCGAACCTGCGCGGGCAGAGCCCACATGATTTCTAGTCATGCCCGATAACCACTCCGGCACGTCCACATGGTTTGCTCATTTTAAACCAAATATTATTGATACTTTATTAATTTGATCATTCAACTTCCGTATTCGTTCATGCTTTTTCGATGGTGTAATGACTTGATGTAATTACCTATTTGGTAAGAGTATGGCACATCGTCAATTTTTTTTACTTTGTTTTAATAACTAGAAAACTGATACAAAATATTAAAAAATAATAAATATTTCGAGACACTGGAGGTGACTGATTAAGGTATTTTTTTAATATTTATAAATAAATTTCTATATTTTATATTTTTGATAAGGGCTATATGCTAACTTTCCTACCTAATTTTTTATCAAAAGATTATCTATGTAGATAAAAATCTCTTTTAATGTAGATTAAGTGAAATTGTTATCTAGATGATTTATATGTAATTATTAATAACAAATTTTTTAAGTAAATATAATTAAAGAAGACCACAACTAGAATTAAATACGTGTAATATGTTTCAACGCCTTTGTACTTCATAAAACACTCGGTAGAGAATTAAATAAATGCAATATACTTTCACTTGGAGAGAAGGCCTTTTCACTTGATAGAAAATCCTTTGAATTTCATAGATGGAAAGAAGTAGTAAAATAAAATACTCAGTAGGGGTAATTTTTTTGTACGGCATTCAATTCCTCAATTTAATTAGAATTTTAATGTATCACAATCAAAATCATTTTAATGTACCGCAATTACTTACATTGTTATCCTACTTTCATACGATATGACGAATAAATTGTATTTTTCATTCAAAATTTTCTCATTTTCACTGAAATTACAATCTCTTATTTTAAGTGGTTACTAATGAGTGACCTTTAATATTTTACAAATTTTGTTACGAGAGTTTCTTATTTTAATTATAGGAGTATGCATCTATAAATTATAATTAGTTATTACAAGTGATTATTAGTAGGAGTAGAATTAATTATTACATGTGATTATTAATAAGTGACGTTGCGTAAATAACAGTGAGAATCGAATAACCAAAACATTAGTTTTCTATCTTTTTAGGTATATTTAGACAACCAAATAGTATAGCTTTTATTTTTATATTATTTAGGTGTATTTTGAGAAAGAAATATTAGGACTTTGTTAAAATGATGAAATTGTTGCCTAAAAGAAAATTGGTAAAGCGGCAAAAGACTTGAAAGTTGTAATTTAAATATGTAAGTATATTAGAAGGGATTGTCGATCATTTATCTTTTCTACATGGATGTTACAATCATTATCACTTATTAGATGTCAAATTGGATCGCTTGAGGTAAGTCACGAAGTCTAATATTTTTCTTTTTGGAACTTTGTACCTATTAAATGTTACTCTTACAACTATCCATTTTGAAATTTAAGGCACAAGACCTTCATGTGTAAGAAATAAATGGTTTTTAAAGATTATATATATATATATATATATGAAAAAAGCTAACAATAGCTGACAAGCTATAATAAATAATAATATAGGTGGAATAGGAGCCGAGCCGTCATATCTTCATCATGCGGTTTAGAATGCATATTATTGTTTTAATTTTAATTATTTTTCTATAAATCAGATAGTAATGAAATTTATACATGTGTACTAAAAAATAGGGCGTAAAAATAATATATATATATATATATAATATTTTCTAAAATAAAAAATGACTGAAATACCCCTAAAAATGCAAGGGTATTTTGGTCATTTTAAATTATTGAAAATAATTTTCTTATATTTTTATATGGTGGACAATAGTGGTAGGTATATACATCCAAAATTTCATATTAATCATATTTATGTAAAAAAATATTAAAATTAAAATAGTGATGTACATTTTAAACCGCATGATGAAGATCTGATGGCTCCCATCCCACCTATTTACTATTCATTATAGCTGTCAGCTGTTGTAAGGTTTACCATATATATATATATATATATATATTCTGTCAGCGATGTAATAGTATAAGCCCAACGGCTCATATTAAATCTTGACCACTCTGATGGTTATAATTGTGTTTCATTTTTTAATTTTAATTTGTTTTTCTACAAATCCAAATTATATGAGATTTCGAGTCTCTAATTTTGAAAAATAGGTTTACCCTAATAAAATATATTGGAGGTATTTTGATCAATTTATTTTTTGGTGAATTATTGTTTTAATATTTTTATTAAGTGCACTTTAATGAAGAAGTGGAAGCTTCACATTTCATCTGATTTGAATTTATAGGAAAAAAAAATTAAAATTAAAATACAATAAAACCTGGTTGTGCAATGTTTGTCTGTTTGCTCACACAACGAGGGTGTGTTGTTTTGCAAAGTTAGTTAGCACTCAACTAACTGCGGAAGTTTGTTTGTTTGCTCACAAAGCGAGGGTGTGTTGCTTTGCAGAGTTAGTTAGCATTCAAGTGCTGAACACAAAATTAGTTAGGATCAAATTTGTGCCGCATGGCAAGATTTGTCTGTTTGCTCACACAACGAGGGTGTGTTGTTTTGCAAAGTTAGTTAGCACTCAACTAACTGCGGAAGTTTGTTTGTTTGCTCACAAAGCGAGGGTGTGTTGCTTTGCAGAGTTAGTTAGCATTCAAGTGCTGAACACAAAATTAGTTAGGATCAAATTTGTGCCGCATGGCAAGATTACTCTTGACCTTTTTTATTAGCGGGTTGATGAACTATGGATATCGTAGAAAAGAAAGGCTCATTCAAGTTGGAGAGGAGAGGAGATATAGCACGTAACGAACAGATTGTATAGAGGATCGATAAACTTTCGTGCTCTAAAAGAAAATGAAAGATTTTTTTTATTAATACGGTTGATGAATGATGGATATCACAGAAATACTTGTTCAAGTTGGAGAGGAGATGCAACACATAGAGAACGACCTACATGACAAGTGGAGAACCAACTGCTAGCCTGTCGGTTTATCTTAAAAGCCTTTTAAATACACTTGTGCCCAGCGACCTGCTTAGTAGATTCAATGTGCGCGTTTATTACAGCTGTGAATGAGTGGGTTTACTTCAAGAAACATTTATATATTATTGAAATAGAAAATATACAATAAAACTATTTATTTATGGTAAAAATAGGTCATTCAATCTAAGCTGATGGTAAAAATAGGTCATTGAGTATTTATTGC